TACCACAGAAGCTATCCACCTTATTAGGAAGATGGTGGAACAATACAGGGATAAGAAGAAGGATATCCACATGGTGTTTATCGATCTAGAGAAANCATATTTCTCGTATTTCCTATATCTCTTATATTGTTTATGTTATGTTATGGATTTTATGGTATTGTATGTTGTTTTACTATGAGTCTATTGATAGTACTAATATATTGTCTCTTGTTGCCTCTTTGAGCCGAGGGTCTCCTGGAAACAGCCTCTCTGCCCCTCGGGTAGAGGTAAGGTCTGCGTACATATTACCCTCCCCAGACCCCACTTGTGGGATTACACTGGGTTGTTGTTGTTGTTGTTGTTGGTATTATGAATCATTTTATTAGCTATTGTAGGAAAATTAATCTTCTATTTATGTTACTCAGACATATTATATCTCTTTTATGCTATTTTAAAATTCCTATTATAAGTTGGCTTACCTAGTGTTGGAGGTTAGGTGCGATCACGATCTTTAGTGGAATTTTGGGTCATCACGATAATTAAAGTCATGTGTATATTACTTATTCTCAAGATCGGTGAAATTCTTCTCCAAAATTATCTTAGTGTGAGCTCCCAAAAACAGAAATGGTGAACTGAGCTCAAAATTCCAAAATTAGACCTTCAGTGCCGCTGACAACATTTTCCTCTTTGTGATGACGACCAAGGCTATCGTGATAGCGATGAGCAACCAATTGAATACTCTTCGCGGTCGCGAGCCTGACCCATGCGACTCTGATGAACAAAACCTCCGGCCCAAAATTCTTTCTGCGTGATCGCGAACATAGGTCCACGATCATGATACACTGTTGTGCACCAGCAATTTCATTAGTTATAATTTTGTTTCCAAGTTCTCTACAACATCTTTGAGCCCCTCGGGCCCTAATCGGAACATACAAGTCCAAAAATACTATATAGACATATCCAAAGTCTCAAAGCACGAATCAAAGCTCATTGACTCCAAACAATGACCATTGGCAAACTCATGAAATTTTAACTTTCAGATTAACAAGCAAGTGTACCAAAATGTTCTGCGCCCTTCGAGACCCGAACCATCCATACACGCAAGTACCAAATCATCATACGAACATGCAGTATGTCCCAAACAAGAGAATAGGTGATTAAACTTAAAATGACCTGTTGGATATATATCTACATTATATTAAAAGTAGGAAGCCCTTAACTAATAAGTTGAATTACCAAAATATCCTTCTTAAAATCTTAATTACCCTATTTATAGAAAATAAAAATATAACAGTAATATTTTTAAAACAAAAAAAAACTAATTTATTTGAAGTGTCCTTTCTAAAAAATTGTGACTTTTTAATAAGTAACTAAATATCTTTCGTAAGCCTATTCACGTTGCTTACTTGCCAAAATCTTAAGATGAAAACTGTGGTTATTATAAATTATGTATGAAAATGAGAGCACAAGTAGAGAAAATAAAAATAAAAAAAGATATTAACTTTGGTTTGATCCTTGCGAAGAGTTTCGTCGTTTAAATATACCATGGACCAACAAAATATTATGTAAGTTATGTTTTTAGTTTCTTTTGTCAATTTAAAAAAAAAAAAAAATAAGCATCATATCTTTTACCATCTTTTGTTGAATTTTACAAGTTTGTGGTTGCTTTTGATTATTTGACTTTTTTACTATTTCAACAAAAAAATTTGCTTCTGAAAGAAATGTGGTATATACAACTTCCAAAAATCACACATAGATAGAATTTTACTTTTATTCACGAATACTATATAATACACAATAGTTTCCATATGGAATACTAGAATAGATCATTTGAAAGGTAACTAATATAAAAAATAAAAAATAAATAGAATTAATAAGTTAAATTGCATTGACAATATAATTTTTTTTCCAGATAGTAAGTTAAATTTCTATAAGTATTGGGGATTCATCATTGAAAATTAGAAACCATAACTATAATCTGAAAAATAAATAAAAGAACATAAAAGTAGAAAGAGAAATATAAAAATGAAAACTAATTGATTTAAGTGTCATTTCTGAAAGAAAAAAATTCTTTATATTTAAATAATTTTCTTGCCACCAATTAGTGACATAAAACAATAGTTATTCCCTTAACTTTTTCATAGTTCTTTTTCGTCAACTATACAAACTAATATGTCATTCTCCTTAAATAACCAATTCTCTTAGAGTTGAAGAGTATACTGTTATTCTTTTTTATTCAATATACTATTTCAATTTTAAAACTCATTCTTCCTATCGGATCGAATAAAATAACATACATGGATATGTATAAGTATGTGTGTAAATGCACATGCATGTATATGTATTTATATTCACATATCTTACGTTATTTGTAACAAAAATATTTATATTTACGTTTATGTCGAAGTAAGATTATCATTGGAATGTTATCGAGAATGGTGAAAAATAAGTTGCATCGACATTGGAGAGTAAATAATTAAACTATTAAGTTTCTCTTTGACAAATAATTATTACTTCTTTATATAACTACACATTATGAAATTGACTATATATATTTTAATTTACTTTAATGTCGAAGTAAAATTATCGTTGGAACGACATTGAAGAATGGCGAGTGTTGCATCGATATTGAAATGAAAATAATGTGACCGTTAAGTTTCTCTATCACAAATAATTATCATTTTTATTATAAGTATATGTTATAAAATTGGCAATAATCTACTAGATATCCTAAGGAAGACGAATATTGATGCAATTTGTGTACAACTTCCACAAAATATTACTTTCATTGGACTACAATTTTGTGATATGTACGCGGTTGTAAAAAGAAGGGGGCTACAGAGGCAGCAACTTTAAGACGTGAAACATTTGCAACCATACTTGAGGTTGCACATATTCATATTTAAATTATATTGCTAAAATATCTAAAATTAATCAAGAAAACAGTCAAGAACAGAGGATGAGCCAGAATTTCAAGCTTATAGGTTCAGGATCATATTCTTTTAAGTTATTAAGTTCTACGTTAATAATTTGTACATAGTTAATGATAATTCTAAGACAAATACATGATTTGAACCAAAGCTTCTGGGTTCGGTCCGACCAGTAGTAGACATTGTAGCTCCACCTTACCTTAACAAACAAGTTACGTGCAATGCACGTGTAAAAAAACTAATTGTTATAAAAAAGTTACCATGGACACCAAAAATAAATTCCCAATCACCCAAATAAACGAACAATTATCTTCATTTTTGCAAATCTCAAGCTCTGTCTTTTACTTGAGAAGTGCAGGAAATGAAACTGGATACTATATGATTCGATATACACGTGCAACGCACGTACCGAGAAACTAGTATATATATATATATATATATACACCGGTAATTGCACCTTGTTCCAACAGTATGGAGTATTATCGAGTCTAAACTTTAATTATTGGATAGCCCCATCGGGGTCAAGGTCATCTTTACATGTTGTTATGTCACTTTGATTTAAGGAGTTGTTTTTAAATTTAACAAGTCTTATAATAAGTTCATTAATGATGCAATATTGACTTTTACACCTTAAAAAATTAACTAAATCTTCATCACCGGAATTTCATTTTTTCCATTTCATTGATGAATATAATATATCACATCTATGTTTTTGGGGTCTATAAGTATGCATCACCAAATGGTTCAGAATGCACTTCTTTGCAGCTATGGTCTATTCTTTAGAATCATCAAAAGAACTTGAAAGTTCAATAAGTCTTCAGGAAATTACTAAGGAACCCGTTGTTTCCATCCCAATTCGCTACCTTTGCATTGATGAAGAACCTTCCCTTCTCTCAGAAGCCAGCCTTGCACCAGCTATCCCCACCATTGACTCGAAAGCATTAGTGATGGAGCAAACCAGAGGTTCTGAACTTGAGAGATTGCACTTAACTTGCAAAGAATGGGGAATTTTTCAGGTAATTATTCAATAACATAATAACAAAAATTTCGTGCTTCAATCTTTCCAAATTATATAACTCGATTAAGTGTGAATGGTAATACAACAGCCATTTTCACCGCAAATATTTTCCTCCTAGATATATTTATTCCGGTGTTTTGTTGGTGAGTGAAAAATATTTTTTGAAAAGCTTATATATTAAAACTAATAACAGCATTAGCAAATCGGAGGGTTAACTTGTTTTGATGAAGTTTTTGAGTACTAGAAATTAGTAATAATAATGATATTGTAATATAAAGTTAAAAGTTAAGATGGTGTAAGAACCATCAAAGGAAGTGGTGCAGTGGATGAGATTGGTCTTCCATTAACCGGAGGTCTAGGGTTCGAACTCTGGGTATGGAAAAATCCTTGGTAGGGAGCGCTTTCCCCGAATGGGGCCTTACGCAGCGCGAATCCGAATATAATCGGGATCCTATGCGGGTAGCGGACATCGGTGAAAAACCAAAAAAAAGATGATTGTAAGAAAAATTATTTTGCCCATAAGTTAAGGAAATGATCATTTTTCCCCTTTAGATGGAAGTAACCAAAGACCAAAATTGGATTCCTTCTCAAAAATATTTCCATAAGAAACTTCCGTCATATCAATCACGATATTGAATGTTTAATAGCGTGTTAGGAGGAGGTTGGGGAAAAGCTGTTAACGCCTTGTGTATATTTATTTGTTTGATTATGACATGTAATAACAAAACATGCATCTACAGTTAGTGAATCATGGAGTCAGCTCTTCAATAATGGAGAAACTCAAGTATGAGATTGAAAAATTCTACAGACTTCCACTTGAAGAGAAGATGAGATATAAGGTAAGGCCAGGTGATTTTGAAGGTTATGGCCAAAAAGCTATTTTACACTCTCAAGATCAAAAGGGCTTTGATTGGGCTGATAGGTTTTACATGATAACCAACCCTGTTCAGAGGAGAAAACTACATCTTCTTCCACAACTCCCTCCTTCACTTAGGTCACATCTCTCTCTCTCTCATCATATTTCATCTCATATTTAATTCTAATTAAGTTTAACTTTTATATACCGACACTTAGTAAGAAACTAATTTTTACTCTATAAAATTACCTAAAATATAATTACAGGCAGGGGCATATTTAGCGGTGCCGAAAAATTACATCGTGTATACAACGTTAAATCTATTTTTTACACCTATATACTCCCTCCGTTCCAATTTATGTAAACATATTTGACTGAGTACAGAGTTTAAGCAAAAAAAAAGACTTTTGGAATTGTGGTTCTAAACAAATCAAAAAGAGATCCAGAATATTTATATGGTTATAAAAGTTTCTCATTAAGAGTAGAATTAGAAGTTAAGCTAGATTATTTTCAAATTTACAACGGAGTCATTTTTTTTGGAACAGACAAAAAAAAAATAGGTTCACATAAACTGGAACGGAGGGAGTATTATGTTTTGAATCACCTTGATACAGACAAAAAACATAGCTCTGTGGTCAAAGGGGTTCAAAACCTTTGTGAAGTCACTAGCTCAATTCCCACTAGCTAATTTTTTTTGACCCCTTTAGTAAAAATTCTGCCTCCGCCGCCGATTACATGTCATTATCATTTAAAAAGTACGATAAATCACCTGGAAAAGAAAAGTAGGATACATGCTAGAACACGTTAAAATCCAGACATTATGTATACTGTCGGTCCATATGAAATAAATTAGTTTATTCTACTATGTTATAGAGAAACTTTGGAGGTTTATCTGTCGGAGTTGCAAAAACTTGCGAAGGTCCTTCTATGGTCGATAGCCGATACTCTAAAGATTGCCAGAGAGGAAGTAGATAAGATGTTCAACGATGAGGATGGGATGCAATCTGTGAGGATGACTTACTATCCACCATGTCCAAAACCTGAGCTTGTTATGGGGTTTAGACCTCACTCAGATGCCACAGGAATCACAATCCTTCACCAAGTTAATGGGGTTGATGGCTTTCAAGTCAAAAAGGATGGTGTTTGGATCCCAGTGCACTTTCTTCCTAATGCCTTTGTTGTTAATCTTGGTGACATTCTTGAGGTTTTCACTTTGCTTCTAGACTTTGTTTTATTTCATTTGACTACCATGAATTCTCCATGCCTCAAAACAGAAAAAATTACTATATATATGGAATTATAATTAACTGCAAAAGTAAGAAACTGAGAATATTAAACCCATTTTTCGTTAGTAGCTTCTAGTAGAAGTAGATCAATAGTCTTAATTTTGATATTTCAGAAGTCTTGAGAAAAATAATGTTAATGCATATTCATTTTTATAAGCCTTGGAGCAACGATAATGTTGTTTCCACGTGACCTATCTAGGTCATGGGCTCGAGCCGTGGGAGCAGCAATTAATGCTTGCATTAGGGCAGACTAACTATATCACACCCTTTGAACTGTAATTTTTCCCCAGACCTTGCGTGAGCACGGAATACCCCGTGCACCAAATTGTCTTTTTTTTTTGGTGAAGTTTCTTGTCAATTTGTATATAAAATAGAAGGTGGTGAAATTTATTAAACTCTTTGGGCTGAGAATTTCTTTTTTATGAAGAAGAGACTTAAGTAGTTCATTTTGACTTGAGAGGCAGGAGTTGCACATGTAAAATTAAAGCACTGATATATTCCATAATGGTCGATCATTTTCTTAAGGAAATAAGCATAGAAAATCAGTTAATGATCATTAAATATGAACTCAAAAAATAAGTTTAAGTAGATGAACATAAGAAAAAACTGCCACAACTTCTCTTTTCTTGTTAAATAGAGCATTATTTTAGCCAATATGAAAAATAATAAACTCCCTATCAACCTAATCATCGTCTGGACCACACGACTAATATAATGAAGAATAACATGTTTTCCGAATGACTAAAATTCTGGCATTCTGCGGGATTAATAATAAACAATCCCGACAGATTATACATTTTTTAAATAAATACGACGCAACTATTGGTTCTTATGATGGTGACTTGAATATGACGTAGATATGAGGTTTCTCAACTAGATAAATTTTCAAGTGTAGGTGAGATATCATATCTTTTTAACATGTTAGAATAGTGATATTTTTTAACTTAAAAACTCTTTAATTTTTAAAATTTTATTTTAAATAACGACATGTTCTTATTGTAATATAAATGTTATGTCTAATACTAAAAGTTTCAAGGATGCTTTTGGTATGTACTAAAAGCTTTTATTTCTTTCTTTAAAACATATACTCAATCAAATACACTGTTGTATAAAATGAAGTGGAAATAACTAGGAAATTGATTTGAGATGAGCCAATTTTAGTAGCCATTTAGATATTTGTGATACCATGTAAGAGTTACAGTAATTATATATTCTTCCTAATGAAAGAAAACTGAAGAAGTTGAGCCTTAGGAAGAAAAACAAGAATTTTTGCCAAAATATTTTCGAATTTTGGGAGAAAATCAAATATTATTCGGAAATTTTATTGTATATTTCCCTTTCTTATCAGATTGTGATGCTAATTTAACATGCAGGTATCGAGCAATGGTCTATACAAAAGCATAGAGCACAGGGCAACAGTGAATTCAAGTATAGAGAGGATCTCAATAGCCATGTTCTTTAATCCAAAGTTCGAAGCAGAGGTTGGACCAGCAGCTTCTCTAATAAACCAAGACAATCCACCAGCATTCAAAACAGTGAAAATGGAAAAACTTGTGAAAGATTACTTCTCCCGTAAGCAGGACGGAAAGTCATTCTTGGAGCATTTGAGGATTTCAAAAGGCAAGACAGCACAATAGCGGTTGAATTTGGGAACAATATGCCAAGACGATGTGAAAGTTATATAGTTATGCAACATTATGTATTTCCCTGGAAATAAACAAAGTTAGACTATGTATAAACGTCAATAGTATATTAGATCTTCAACTTTGTAATATTTTATGTATTGGTATATATAGAGGACGCTTTATGTAAAATTCTTTTCTATTTTCACATGCATTAGCTCAGAGGATACTTTTCAGAGTTGACCATTGGACTTAGTTTACTATAACGATAAATTCAAAAATTAGTTTTTGTCACGTTAAGGTACTGAACTGTATCAACTATTACAAAGACCCAAATTTGAAGGCGCCCAATGCGCCCTACCGAGCGACTCCGAACTTACTAGAAAATGTTTAAAACATATTTGCACCCAATATCAATCATTGATATGACTAGATAGAATCCCATAAGTTAGGCCGTAGCCAAATAAGGAATCCCGTAAGTTATAATAAAGGTACGATTCCTTATTTAAAATGTTAATTATCTTTGTTTCTTTATTTCTGAGATGTAATATTTATATCTCCAAATAAAACTTACCTATTAAGTTTGTTTACCCTAAAAATTGGATAACAATTAAATTTATAATGTGATTTTAAGGGTATGTGATTTCACCTAATACCAATTGATAAACATAAAGATTAACAGTATAGATTAACAATGAGATAAAGCAAACTAGTCTTGAAACGTGTTTCAACCCTCGAGCTTAAGTGCCCTCGAACTGATCGGTGCCCAAAACAATTAAGAAACAAACTAACCAATGGACAAGAATATGAACTAGAAAGTATTGTATTACTTTGATATGCGTGAATGTAAGATGATTATAAGATGACTAGGGCCCTCTTTATATAGTAGAGGAATCCTATTTAAGGTATAATTCTAATTACGAAAGTAAAATCCATAATAGGCTAAATAACCGGTCCTGACTTGATACGTGCCGAGATTTCCGCCACGATCCTTGTCCGATCACGGATATCTCGGCTTTCTGTTATTCGACATGACAAGCTTCCTTCGATCTCGTTCGATCTCTTTCCTGTTTCGGTCTCGATCTTGATCGGCTATTGTTACATGGTCCGATATAATCGAGGCCAAAACTTGATCTACCAACCCGATTTTGGTCTGTCATGCAAAATTAGGCAAGCCTGATTTTGACTGTATACAGATAGTCCCCTCGTTTTTTGGAGTGTAATGACAAGAAACGAATTGAGTCTTTGCGTTTCTTTGCTTGTTCTTCTCGAAATACCAAATATTCCAATCTCTATTCTTCCTTGCTTACGAAAACAAAATGGCCAAAATATCTAAAAATGTTCCGCAAAAGGAAAACGCTCAGGTTCGGGCTAAGGAGCGCACCGAGTGTCGGTCTCAGAGGGAGACCTTTGAAGAAATCCATACTCGGGGCTTTGTTCTTTCGACCGAGATCGATGGACCCCGAATGACCATTTGAACTGGAGTTTGAGTAGCTCTTAGGCTTAACAGTCGAGTGAGGATTCGCTCGAACTCGAAGTAAAGTTAGCTTTTAGGCTTTATAGATAGTCCTCTGTGAGCATGTGATTTTTACCCTATATGAAATACTCCTATAAAATCAAAAGAAATAGATTTTTTCAAATTATTTGCCATTCTTATAGGATTTTGTGCGATTTTTCGTTAATTGTTTGCATTTTTTATGCATGTTTACTATTATTAAAATCATGAAAAATACCAAATATACTATGCATTGCATTTAGATTTTGTTTTTATATTTTTAGGATTAATTAGATAATTATTTGTTTTATTGAAAATGAAAATCACAAAAAATGGCTCATTTTTTTTTTGTATTTTTTTGTTTTTAATTCTTAGATAAGTGATTTCTCTCTTTTAGTTTAGTTTAATAATTATTATAAAATTTATAATTAGATAATTAGCTTAATTTTACAATTTAGATTAATTTAGAATTTTAATTCAGGATTTTTAATTAAAGAAAAAGAAAAAGAAAAAAAAAGGAAATAAAAGGATAATTGGACAAAAGGTTTTAAACTTGAAATTGGGCTGATTTAACCCCAAACACGTTCTCAAACCCAGGCCCAAACCAAGCCACCCGGTCCAAACCCCATCTGAAGCCAAACGACACCGTTTCATTGGTCAGTAAATCCCATCTGTTGATCTCGTTTGATCGAACAGATGGGAACTAACCTTCCCATCCATATAAAACTATCCTAACCACCTCCCCCCATTTGAATCTCTCTCACTTCAGTCTCTCACCCAAACCCTAGCTGCCCTAAAATTCTCCGCCGCCTCCGTCGCCAACCGCCCACCGAAAATCGCCTCACGGCGGTTCCGGTACTCCAAACCTCTCAAAATTTTTACCAGTCAACCCCCGTCCTCTCTTCTTTCTAAATCCACAAACCTTTTCTCCAAAATCCCCACCCAAATCCTCCAATCTTAGATCTAAAGTTCGAGCCCAAACCCTAGTTCACTCATACCTAACCAAATCACTACCCCATACTTATCAACCTCCCCTCGTTGTCAAGCTATCACCATATTTCAAAAAACCCCATTAAATGCTCTAAGAGCCAGATCTAACAAAAAAAGAAAGATTGAGTTCGTTCTTTTCTTTGACCGTTTGTTGGTTTTTCAAGGCTCGTGTTGGCTCGAAATCGATGTTAGTCGATTGTTAGAACTTGTTTGAATCTTCATCTTAATAGCTGGATTAGTAAGCTTAACAGTCTTTTGGTGAGAGTCATTTGGGTGCTAATCTCTTGTCGATTTATGTTCCTGCTTTATTCCAGAATTGACTCATGATAAAATTATCTAGGGTTAGGGTTAATTTAAGGTTTAAATTGCATAAATTTTTTGGTCCTTTCAAACTGTGATTTGTGCCAATTTTGGTCTTTGTTTTGTTGGTTCTGGCTTGTGAACATATTGAAGTTATGAGGGTTAATTGAACAGTTAAAATACTTAAAGGGTCTTAGAAGGGTATGAAATAAGATTTATAGATAAGGTTAATATCAGAAGCTTCTAGAATTTGGGGCAGCTAGCCTTATTTGGTTAGTACAAAGTACTGAAACCAATGAGGGACAGTCATCTGTCCAATTCTGTTAGAATATGCTCTTTGTGGCTGATGGAATAATTCCTTCAGCACATGGCATCTTTGGTGCTTATATATAGTGCATTTTCTGTACAGAAAATCATATTGGAAAACCCTACAAAATACTCTTTAAAGTTTAGCTGTTGTTTTTTCCAAAAAAGAGTTGATTCCCTTGGTTCTTGATTTCAAACAAAAAAAACATTCAAAAACTTCTTATTTCTGTTCTTCATAAGCTGAGAAACATGGTTTGAAGTTGAAGGTTTCCTGGTTTTTCTTTGGGGTATACTGGTTTTAGCTGTTGTAGCTGATTGTGGAAGTTTGGTTCCTGATTTGTGTGGCTGGTTTTGAGTTATGTTTCTGCTCTCTTGTTCTAAGCTTTCAGCCACCTTAGTCATCTATTGGTTGCTAGTTTTTGTTGCTGTTTTTAGGTATTTACCTCAGCTTTTCTCTATTGTAATGCTTTAATGATTTGTGAAATGGTATAAAATTGGATTTATAAATGGCATTTGTAGAAATGAATGTCTTTCCTGCTAGTAGTAGTTTTACATTGATAAGATTTGAATGGTTTTGACTATGTGAGTTTAAAGCTTGAGGTGATTTAGCATGAATAACCTAGTTAATACATGAGTGCCTCGTAGCTTTATCTTGCAAATAGCTTTGTTTTGTGTCCATAGCCAAACATTCTGGTTGTTAATGTTGACCATGAAATTTTAGTCATATTTTCTCTTCTTTCTTCTATCTGAATAGATGGCCCTCTCTTTACTTAAAGTCACTTGATTTTATCTGTTTGGCCATGAGTTGCTACCTGCAGATTTGGCCACTAGTTGGCCAAATCGGCAGGTTCAAAAGCTGGAAATTTGGGATCATGATGTTTTAACACGAGAAGAGACCAAGCTCTAATGGATGTATCATGTCCAAAAGAGGTAGAGATTCTTTATGATGTCAGTTATATAAAATTTGTAATAGATTAGCTTTTAATGTAGTTAGTTTATGTATTTAATAAGTCACAATATAGTGTGTTGATTTTGAAAAGCTTCATAGTTTATTTGAAGACTGTAATGAACTAGGTTTTAATTTCATGTGTTGGGATTCAGAATAGCTACATTAGGAGTTTAATTATGTGGTTGTTATATTTTTTTTATAAAAACAGTACTGGTGTAAAAGGGCTAGGTTGTGAGCCCACTCAATAGGATTGAAGGGTTGTTCCTTTGATTAAAGAGGGTTGAATTCGAAGCCCTATTGATACCCAATTTTTCCCTATATATTTTAAATATGCATGAATACCCTCAAAACATCATATATATGCATATATAAGTACGCACAAAGTTTTTATTATTTTTTCCATAATTTTAAGGGTTTAAATTAATTTATTTTCTCCCCTTTTATCAATAAAATCCCCAATAATTATTTCAAAACTTATTGTTTTGATAATTTATTTATTTAATTTCTATACTCATGCCAAAATATAGCCAGTATAATTTTTATGCATTTTTATAATTACATTTAATATTTTTTAAGCTAAATTGCACATAACTGCAATGTTAGCCCATTTTAAGGTATAATTATATTTTATATGCATAAAATTGGTCCCCATATTTTTAAAATGTCAATTATGTATTTTAAATTATTTTCCGAAAATTACCTATTATTTTTATAAATTAAATAGAGGGAAAATTGGCTATTTAAATTATAGCCAAATCTGGCTTTCAATTATAGCCTAATCGGACCCCTCTCCAGCCCAATTTCACACCCAATCACCCGACCCAGACCCTATTCACGTCTACCCGACCCAAGCCATCATAAATCCTGGTCATAGATCTTTTAGATCAACGGCCCTTATTCCTCATACTTTTTAAATTTCCAAACAACCCCTAACCCTAAGTCATTTTTCCAAAGGCGCCGCCTTCATATGCTCTCATATTTTCTCCTCTCTCAAACCTAACCCTAAAACTCCGTCAATCCCCTCCTTCTCCGGTCATCTCCGTCTACCTCTTTCAACCCCAAGCCTTCAATGGGTCCCTCGTCACCTTGCTCATCATCTCTAAGACCTTCAAGGGCCCTGGGCCATGTCGATTTGGACCTAGGATTTCCGAC